ATGATATATCAATACCTTCAACCTGTTTAAGAGGTGCAGTTTAAAGTCATATTTTGTGTTGATGCTCTTTATATGCTGAGTTGTTTTGTATCCACTGTAAATGTGTTACGTTGTAACCCTGTAATGACGTCGCTTTTCTATAGTGTTTCAGTCTTCTTGCAAATCATCCGACTCTAATCTCACTTTTAAATTGTTGCATTGTTTTTAAATTTTATAATTTCAGAAGCTTACATAACGAGCCAGAACCCCTAGTTACGCTCTGGAATGCAGAACAATATTCTGCATTCCTGTGGTTTTATCTGAGCTAATCCTCTACAAAATGTTCAAGATYTGTCAACGCATTCGACTTATTTGTAAGAATAATAGAGATGAGGGGAGGGGTGATAACTATGATTTGTATATCATTATYTACTTTCCAGGGATACGCCAGGTTATTTGACAACAACACWCGTCAGTAAGCCGGAACTTCATACTAAAAGAATTTGATATTTTTAAGCATTTATATATCTATATTTGACCTCAAGGACCTCAAGTGAGGTACGTTCGATTAGTAACAGTATAACTGTTTTATATTGAATCGAATGATAAAAAATATACAGATCRACGTAAAACAAAAACTTTCAATTGCATATCCATCAGATATAGTTAAGAAAACGTAATACTGCATATATTTTATACACGAAATAAATACATAGTGATCACATAACAACAAAAAGTAACAAACTTTTAAAATAAATATTTTTGCAAAGTTCGCGACAATATTAATTATCAGGCCTACAATACTACTTGTAGGGCACTACTAATAATATACASAATGAATGAAAAACTATGTTAGWTGAAACTAGGGTATATAAAAGTACGCTTTCAAGYCGCTGATTTATCAGGTTAGTGCTGATTCCCAGCTWATACTTGTAGGGCACTAATTATATACRCAATGAAAACAAAAGTATTACTGATTAAATAAAATGATTATACTGTMCTATGTTAGTTRAAGTTATAAAAGTACGCTTTCAAGTTGCTGATCTATCAGGACAGGGCTGATTCCCAGCTAATACTTGTAGGGCACTAATTATA